GCGATCCTTGTCCTTGGAGCGACTACGGCCACGATCCTTGCGACTCTTCTCCTTGTCCTTCTCCTTATCCTTGTCCTTGCGATCAGATTTGCGTTCCCGATGACGCTCTCTCTCCCGTTGTTCCCGCTGCTCACGCTCCTTGCGCTTCTCCTCCTTCATTAAATGGAGATAATCCTCGAAGTACTCCTCCCGATACATCGAGTCCACAATCCTGTAGCGCGCATCCGATTCCAGCTTCTTCTTGATGTCATACCAACGCGTATGGCGCTCAATGTCATGCCGCTCCCGCAGCATATCGAGAAAGTCCTTGCGAATCTAGAGAGTGTGTTTTTTTTGTAAAAGGAGGAGAATGTTTGACATGACAGCCATGCGGAAGAGAAAAGAAACAAAGTGCACGAATTAGAGATCTGGCATTGATGCGAGTCTTTCACTTAACCATCTATTGGCTTAAAGAACAAACTTAGGGCTTAAATGCTAGCAATTTCTTATGGCTAACAAAACATAGTTACACGGATCTGTTTGCCCTGCAAGAGAGATTGATTTTGGATTAGTGTTTCAAAGACGTAACTGAAAGAGAAGTTTTTGGATTAATTTTAGGCCCTAGCTGCGTGGAGAGAGAGGAAGAAAATCTATATGTAAAAGCAGAAAAGGACTTTCAGACCACAGGAAAAAGAAATCAAAAAAGGAAAAGTAAAGTTTAAAGTTTAGGGTGTAGGAAAAATACAAAAGGTGTATTGAAATGGTGCTTCTATTGCTAAAAATTTAATAAAAAGGAAAGGCAAGTCGGGGCAAGTGCATTTATGGTAGCCAAGCAATAATCAGACCACCTTCAGCTACCTTCTTCCCTCTCTCTTTTTGTGTTTACGTGTTTAAAGCAGGGCCTTTTAAATGGGTTACATTAATAGACTTCAGGCCATGGCCGAAGCGTACTGTGTTTCATAGAGCTACGATAAATACATATAATAGTAGGTATACAATATGTTATATGTGAGTGGGGGGGGCGCCTGCAAGTGCAAAGATCTCCATGGACATGGGGACATCGGATCTCTTTGCGCTCCATTTGGGCCACACAGAACTCTTGAGGCGGGGGCGATGGGGGGTTGGGTGTCTTTATTATTGTAAAACATAAACGGAAAATATTTGGTTAATTAAATTACGTATTATTCATACTGTTTGCTCAGCGGCCCGAAGACACCCTGCAAGCTGTGGCTCTCCTCCGATTGCTCCTCTTGCTGCTGCAGCTCCTTCCTTTCTCCTCCTATTACCTCCTGAAGGGTTCTCCTTCTCTCTCTCTCTCTGTCTATGTACCAACATGATCTTCAAACATGATCATGTGATATATGATTACAAAATGCCAATAACTCCAATGCCATTCTCCATTTCTGCTGCATTTAATTATCCATTATTATCACATCCTCACATCACATCCTACATTTTCGGGGGCGACGTGGGCCATGGCATGGGGCGGGAATTGGAAATCACACCAACAATTATTCAGAATATTTTTTGCAGTTTGTTGGCGGAACAGAACCTTTTTTTGTTGTCCATATAAAATGTCTTTTTGTTTTCCAAATTTGTTTCTTATTGTTATTTTTTTTTTTTTTTGCAGAAAAACAAATTTTAAATGGAATTCTTTTTGGGTTTTTTGATTGAGAAAACTCACCACACAAATTGCAAGCGTGGTGTGCGATGTCGACGTAGACGAAGAAGATGATGTTGTTGTTGAAGATTGTTGTTGTTGTTGATGTTGCTGTCGTTTTGTGTGATGGTGGTTTTTGTTGGTGTTTATTTGAGTGGTGGTTGGTGGTGGTGCATTTGTGCTGTAATCTGTAGCTAGTTGTAGTAGCTAGTGGCTAATGGTAACAGTGGCCACGGGCAATGCATTTTTAGTGTGGACACAACGGCCACCACATGGTCGTCGTCGGTCAAAGGGCAAATGCAATGCGTTTCAGGGTTTCAGTATCAGTTTCAGATTTGGTTGGGTTCACACACGTTGTTTTATGTTTAAAAGTTAACAAAAAATCAATCATATTATGTAAATACGCTTTGTATACAGATTAAGATTAAAAATATATAATGTATATAGAATATTTTGGTATATAATTGGCATAGATACATCGAACGATTCATTCATTTGCATACGTAAAGAGATTCAACAGCATCGTATAACCTGCCATAAGCCTACCTGTTCTTTTTTGAGCTGCTTGTCCTCCTTTTCGCGGCGACGCACCTCCACGATGTACTCGTTGAAGAGGCTCTCGCGCTCGCGCACCTTCTCAATCGCCCGATAGCGCTCCTCCTTGGCATTCTTCTGGCTAAACTCTGAGAATGAGGATCTGCAAAACGAGATGGGGAGTGAGCAAACCATTCAATCAAACCGTCAGACGCAGATCAACACTTACTTGCCATGCAGCCTGGCCTCCTCCATTAGGCTACGGAAATCATCGCGCTTCTGTCGCATCTTGTTACGCTTCTCTTTGCGCTCCTCTTCGGCCCGATCCTTGACATACTTTTCAAATACCTGTTTGCGTTCCTTCGATGTGAGCAGCAAGTATCGCGGATCAAAGACAATCTTGTGCAGCTCCTTCTCCCACGTGCTGAACGCCGACACATCCTTCTCCCGCAGCATCTCCTTGAACTGGGTGACGCGCATCTCCAGGGGAATGAGGGCTCGCTCCTTGGCCGCCCTCTGCTCGGCCTCCAATGCAGCATCCTCGGCCCGCTTCGATTTGGTCACTAATATGGAAAATTATGGATTAAAAGGGGGTGCCGGAAATGGTAGTTATGGTCGCTCAATACTTTTCTTACCCATCCGCACGCGCTTGGTGGGGACCTCCTCGACACTGGACTCGGATTCAGTGCCAATCTTGATGACCTCCTCGTCATCCTCCTCCTCGGGCTCCACGTGCTGCACATCCGGCTGCTGAGCCTGCGCCTCAGCCAAGGCTGCGGCTGCCTCTTCTGCTTCCTCGTTGGTCTTTTGTTCTGCTGCCTCGGCGGACTTCTCTTCCTCCGTTTTGAGCTGCTCGGGTCGATCGTTGACCGCCTTGTCCACATCCTCACGGTTCATTAGATCCTCGGGACGATCCCACACCGAAGTTCGCGTCGAGGGATTGTAAAAGAAGACACGAGAATCGCCCGTCCAGACCACACACCAGGGTGTGCCCGCAATGGGGGTGCTCGTGACGGGACGAGACTTGTCCGTCTGCTTGGCCGTGGCCGCAGCTTGCTTCTTTTGCTCCTCCTCTTTCTTGCGCTTCTCTTCGGCGGCCTTCTTCGCTTCCTTCTCCAAGGCGGCTGCCTGCGATGCCTTGGCGCTTTCAGTGTTCGCTTTCATGGCGGCGGCAGCTGCTGCGTAGGCCATTTGGGGATCAAATCCCGGTGGCGCTGTGCCCGGGGGCATGTGCATCATCGGATTGGGCAGCAAATGCGGTGGTATTCCGCCTGGAGGTCCCACTGCTGGCGACACACCAGAGTGTGCAGCCATGCGGGCCGCCTCCATGTCCCTCAGAGCTTGCGGCTTCTCCCACACGCTCTCCCCGCGCGCAGCATGGTAATAATACGGCCTGCCATCCGGTGCACGGTGCTCGGACCATTCCGCTGCCCGTGCAATTACCGCTGGATCTATGACGCCTGGCTTGATGATCAGCGTCTTGGCGGGCTTATCCTGGCCGCCGGGCGGTGCGTGCATGTGCTGCTGCTGCTGCTGTTGTTGCTGCTGCTGCTGCCATGGCGGCACACCCACGCCCCAGGGTCCACCGGGAGCAGCACCCCCCGGGAAGCCATAGGCTGGCGGGGGCATGCAGAAGGGTGGCTGGCCAAAGCCAGGAGGCGGCTGCATTCCCGGAGGCTGAAACATGGGCGGCGGCTGCTGGCGCACATTGGGGGGAGGCTGCGAGAGCAGCGGACCAGTTGCATTCGGTGGTGGTTGGCTCATCAGATGTGGCGGTGGCTGCGATGTTAGATGCGGCACTGCTGCCATTTCAGAGCCCAGAGATGGTTCTCCAGTTTTCAGTTCCGGCTTGACAGCCGCATTAGGTGGCCTCTTGGCCATCTCCTCGACCTCGGTTTGGGTCATTATCTTGACAGTGGGCCCATCCGGACGTGTCCAGGTGGTTTCCCGCGTCACCGCATGGTAATAGTAGGATCGTCCGTCCTCCGCCTTGGTCTCCACCCAGATCTCTGGTGTGGCCGCCGCCACACCATTTGCACCCGGAGGAGGCAGCTGTTGGTGGTGTGTCGGCGGCGGCTGTTGTTGCTGCTGCTGTTGGAGCGCCTGCTGCTGCAGCGTCTGCTGCTGGGCCGAGTGCTCGCCGATCGGGCGGCCACTAAATGCATTAAAGGGTTTACTCCTTGAATAAGACCACAATTAGTATGCTTCGATATCGCCTTCGGGTGAAAAAGTCGGCACCAGATACTCACCAAGTGACTTCGGTCGGTTTTTTTTCCGTCGCCGCTATAGCAACGCCGTTCGGCCCCTCTGTGCCACTGCCACTGCCATTTCCATTAATATTCAATGCGACTCCTGGCGGAGATTGATTCGCCTCCTGAAAGTTGACCGGCGAGATGGCCCTCTCACTGTCCATGCTCTCGTCTAAACTTGTTTCCATTGCACACAAATTACTCGTTTTGCACTTTTTTCACTTTGCATTTAAAAATTTTCACAATTTTTTCTGCACTTTTCTGCCGCTAGGGATGTAAATACAAGCAGGTGTGCTTTGGATACATGCTATCGATTAATGTGCAAGGCAGTGCTGGAAAGCGGTTACTTGCTTAGAGATGAGCGCGATACTTTGGTCTAAAAATATTATAACAGCAATAATTAGCAAATCAATAGACTTTAAATGCCGATCGTAGAAAATTATTCGTGTGCTTAATTATTTAATACGCAAATTTTCAATCTGTGGCTAATCTTTTTTTAATGAATCCAAAATACTTGTGATCAGCGACAGGCTCTTACAACTATCGCACAACGCCGTGCAGTAGCACGACCCCACCTCTCACACATTTAAAACCGATTTGTTTTTCCAACACGTGCAGCTGCGGATTTTGTTTGCAATGGGCAAAATACGGAAAATAAAGACACACACCCCCACCGGAGTAGGACTGGATGTATCCCTGCTGAATGGCCAGGACATTGACAGCGAGGAGGAGGGCTGCGGACCCATTGAAGCAATCAGTGTGCACCTCCAACGGCCGGATGTCGAGGAAAAACTCAATGGGTTGCATTCGTTCGCGGTGCTGGCTCTGCGCAAGGAAAAGGTCCAGGAAATCTGCCAAAGTAACTTGGTGCGCATTGCCGCACCCATGCTGTGCGACAAGGATATGGCCATTCGCGATGCCGCCGCTGGAGCGCTGAGGAATCTATCCGTCTTCGGATCAGAGGTATGTGATTTCCTCGTGGACAATGATATATTGACTGCCCTGCTGTCGCTGGTGGCGGGCTACGATCTGACGAAATCGGTGTGCTTCGAGTCCGAACTGCATGCCGACATCTTTCTGCAAGCGATACACCTGCTGCGAAACCTCTGCGAGAGCTCTCCCACAGCCACAGAAGCCTTCAATCAGTCGAATTTTCTGAAAAATCTGCTGCTCTGCCTGGACTACCAGAAGTTTGGCCTGGAGATAGCCATTTCCGTGGCGCAGCTGGTGCTGGTGGTCTCCGAAAACAACTCCAGCTCGTGGAACCTGTTGGCAAATGCCACAATTCTGACAGAACTGCTTAAAGTGACGGAGGGAAGCCACAGTCTGTTGTACCTGAGCGCTCTGGCGGCCGGCATTCTGTGCAATGTGCCCGCCTGCTCATCGGCCTACACCCGGGAGATCCTCGGCAGTCTGGACAAACTCCTGACGATCGACACGCAAGCGCAGTTGTTGGACTGCAAGAATGATATCAAAGATCTAAAGAATAAAAACGAAGCGCCCGTACTGGAGATCTCCATGGAAACGGAGGAAATGTCCGAAGCACAGAGCCAAAATCAGCCAAAACCCCAAAGTGAAGCGGATTCAGCTGTCAAGAATCTGGAGTATCTGTTGGATGCGCAGCGTTTGGTAGCAGAAATCATCACCAACCTCGGATCGAGCGACGATCAGTCTGGTTGGGGCTCGGACTCGGATCAGTCGGATACCGAAAGTGTCGTCGATTTCGATATGAACGAACAGTCGGCGGACAATGATGCGGGTGCCCTGCCGCTGAATTTCGTGGCAACCATCCTGCAGAACAATGTGGTGCAAAAGCTTTGGCAGAAATCGCAGCCCCTGGACCCCGCACTGGAGAAGCTGCTCTCGCAGCAGGAGAATATCCGCGAGAAGGTCTCAAAGATGCGCGTCTCCTATCTAATTTGTCTGCAAAATCTGAGCAACGTGCTGTCGGTGCAGGATCTGGGTGGCCACAATGACATCTACAACATGTGGTTCCATCTCGGACAGCAGGCCTTCAAGGGTACAGAGGATGCAACGATAATGGAGGCCATTACCTCGCTAATGCGCTCCGCCCTGACTTTGCTGAAGACGCGCAAGGATCTGTTCAGTCAAATAACCGAAAATGATCTAAACATGATCATCGAGAGTGCCCAAAAGTCCACAATTATGGATATACGAGTCAACTGGAACCGCATGCTCGGCACACTGGGCTGCCTCTTGTCGGAGGCGCTCGTGAAGGGCATTGTCCAGTTCCTATTGAATTCCTGTGCCCATGAGGAAGATCTGTGGGCGCTGTCCGAGGGACTCGATGCCATGATGGACATCTTTGCGGACGACGATTGGCCGCAGATCATCGCCGATTTGAATATGTGCGAACGCATTCAAACCCTCGAGGAGCAGTTTAAATCAAAGTACAGACAACAGCGACGTGACCTTAAGGATCGACGACCCACCATTTACACCGTTAAATCGAATTTTTCACGTTTTGTATATTATTTAAACAAAAATTGTAAACAATAAAATGCATTTTGGACGAAACAAATCGAGCATGCAAAAAGGCATTAAATTGCCAATTTCATGATTAATTTAACGGAAATTACGAACGAGTATATATTTTTTAGCCAGTATTACTTTCAATACGCAATGATCTTTGGCTGGAAAATGTTGCCGCTGGCATTGGTGCTGGTGTGCCTATTCCTGTTGCTGGAATTGCCACTGTCATCTCCTGAGGAGGTTAATTTCCGACTCCATAATTACTGCGATAAGAAACTCTGTCCCAAAGGAGGGAACCATGTGGCCTGCAATGCAAAGGAGGATGTGAGTATCCAAACCCCCCCATAATAAGAGTCTGTGTCTGGTGTGCCACGTAGGCACTCATTATATCTTCAACCATCAGAAACTGGGCAAGAAATGTTCACTGGATGCTGAAATATTGCCAATCAGAGGCAAGCTACGGACGGATTTGTTGAAGCGTATAAATGAGCTAAGGAATAAGGTGGCCCGTGGGGGTTTTAGTGGCCTGACGGCGGCTGCTCAAATGGCCACCATTACTTGGGATGAGGAACTGGCCTATCTGGCTGGCTTCAATGTGCAGACGTGTAGGCCCCATCTCGATGAGTGCCGGAATACCCTGGAATATAGCCACGTGGGCCAGTCGGTGGCCTATCGTGGCCTCAACTCGAAGCATCGAGAGCTGTCGGAGATCATCTACAATGCCATTGGTTTGTGGTTTCGTGAGCACGAGGTCACCACCATGGATGACATTTTGCACTACATTGGACCGCACTTTGGGTAAATGAATTCTGTGCACATTTCTCATCACTTAACCACTCCAACTGCCGCCCCTCTTTTCTTTCCTGTCTCGCAGGAAACCCAAAGAGAACTTTCTGCAAATGGTGCTCGACAATTGCAATCGTGTGGGCTGTGCCGTAGTCCAACAGAGCAAGAACGGCTGGCTCCAGACCTATCTGACGTGCAACTACGCCTTCGCACCTGTGTTGGGTGAGCCCGTCTACAACAGCAGCAAGCGTCCCGGCGAAGCGTGCCAGTCCGGCCACAATCCCGTCTATAGGCATCTTTGCTCTGAACACGAAATGTACATGCAGAATGGAATACCAACCCAGGTCGATGCAGGTCAACTGCAGCGTATGCTCTTGCTACCGCCGATTGATGTAAAAAATGAAAAAGAATTTGCACCTGGAGATCCTTTTTTTTCAGGATCCTCTCACGTTGAGCCAAATAACCAGCCACAAAATCCAACCGTAAAACCAGACCCGGCAGGAGCAACAACCAAAGCAGCAGTCCAAGCAGCAGGGACAACTGCAGCAGCAGCAGCAGCAGGAGGAAAAGAAACAACTGCAGCAGCAGCAGCAGGAGGAGGAAAAGAAACAACTGCAGCAGCAGCAGCAGGAGGGGAAGAAACAACTGCAGCAGCAGCAGCAGGAGGGAAAGAGATAACTCCAGCAGCAGCAGCAGGAGGGAAAGAGACAACTTTGGCAGCAGAAGGAAAAGAAACAACTGCAGCAGCAGCAGCAGCAGGAGGGGAAGAGACAACTGCAGCAGCAGCAGCAGCAGGAGGGGAAGAGACAACTGCAGCAGCAGCAGGAGGGCAAGAGACAACTGGAGCAGCAGCAGGAGGGCAAGAGACAACAGGAGCAGCAGCAGGAGGGGATGGGACAACTGTGGCAGCAGGAGGGGAAGAGACAACTGTAGCAGCAGCAGCAGCAGGAGGCGAAGAGACAACTGTGGCAGCAGGAGGGGAAGAGACAACTGTGGCAGCAGGAGGGGAAGAGACAACTGCAGCAGCAGCAGCAGGAGGAGGGGAAGAGACAACTGCAGCAGCAGCAGCAGGAGGAGGGGAAGAGACAACTGTAGCAGCAGCAGCAGAAGGGGGAGAGACAACTGCAGCAGCAGCAGCAGAAGGGGGAGAGACAACTGCAGCAGCAGCAGCAGGAGGGGATGGGACAACTGCAGCAGCAGGAGGGGAAGAGACAACTGTAGCAGCAGCAGCAGAAGGGGAAGCGACGGAAGCGCCAGCAGGACGGCGCAGATCTGGAAAAAACCTTAGGAGTAGGAGTCCGGTCCGTCCGAGAACCAAGATTCAACCAAAAAGAGAGGCAAAAGAGGCAAAAAGAGGCACAGTCCGGAGTAAGTCCAAGAAAGAAGTTAAGCCCGGACATAAAACACGGACCGCCAATCGACGAAGAACAAAAATTCAACGCAGAGACGGGGATGGGGAAACTGAACCAGCTGTAGATGGAGCAACCACGGAACCAGGGGCAGCACCAGTAGAAGATGGAGCAACCACTGAACCAGGAGCAGCACCAGCTGAAGATGGAGCTACCACGGAACCAGGAGCAGCACCAGCTGAAGATGGAGCCACCACTGAACCAGGAGCAGCACCAGCTGTAGATGGAGCAACCCCTGAACCAGGAGCAGCACCAGCTGTAGATGGAGCAACCACGGAACCAGGAGCAGCACCAGCTGTAGATGGAGCAACCCCTGAACCAGGAGCAGCACCAGCTGTAGATGGAGCAACCACGGAACCAGGAGTAGAACCAGCTGTAGATGGAGCAACCACGGAACCAGGAGCAGCACCAGTAGAAGATGGAGCAACCACTAAAGGTGGAGGAGAATCTACAACTAAAGAGGGAGAAACGACTGCTGCTGTGCCCGGAGGCGTAGCCACGACTGCTGCTGTGCCCGGAGGCGTAGCCACGACTGCTGCTGTGCCCGGAGGCGTAGCCACGACTGCTGCTGTTCCCGGAGGCGTAGCCACGACTGCTGCAGTTCCCGGAGGCGTAGCCACGACTGCTGCAGCTCCCGGAGGCGTAGACACGACTGCTGCAGTTTCCGGAGGCGTAGCCACGACTGCTGCAGTTCCCGGAGTCGCAGCCACGAGTGCAACATCAACGCCAGCACCTATACAAACAGGAAAAGAGGAAATTGACGACTCCTATGCCATGGAGGAATTTGAAAGTCAAGGTGAACCTAAAGCTGAAGAAAATGAAGAATCTGAAGAAAACGTAGACATACAGACAGAAGACAGACAGACCCTACGTAAATTAGGGTCCATAGAATATTCCGAAGAGGCTGAAAATGAGCCGGTGGTCGAGAGCAAAACCATAATTCTAAAGAAATTCGCACGCTTTCTGGCCCAGGTACGTCATGCAAAGGTGCTCAATCAGAGAGGCAAGGTGATCATCATAACCACAAACCATGAGGTGGCGTACACCAGCAAGAAGGTCATGGAAGAAGAGGCTAAAAGGAGAACAGCCAAACGTATGCAAAAGCGCAAAAGTATAATCGAGAGAGCCCGACGGATGCGTAAGAAGCGAGGCAGGCGCCATCAGGGCATCGGCAGGAGAACCATGAGACGGGCCAATCAAAAGCAAAACAAATACAAGCAGTCCGCAGGACTTAAGCATTATCAGAGCGGCGGCCGTCCACGTCCACGTCATCGCCGTCGTCGTCAGAAGTCCAAACCCAAACCCAGGTCCAAGGACGATGCACGTTGGTCGGTTGTGGGCTGAATGAATGCAGCTGTTTCAGAGCCTCCTTTTTCATAAATGCATCAATGCTTAATTAAATGGAATGGGTATACGCTCCACTGCATAAATCATTGCATCTTTGTTTCTTTTTTATACACATTATCTTTTCTTTGAATTATTACAACTATAACTTTTGCAATTGCATTGTTTTCCATATATCATTCATGCGCATGCGCCCCTCACGCAAATGATTCATCAGAGCATCCACGCCCGCCTGTATGGGGGTGGCAGGCCGCACTGTGCCGCTGCCGCTGCCACTGGTGCCTCTTGTACACACGGCCAGATGTCGTTGATAGCGCCCTTGGCTCTTGTACGACTTGTGGCAGTGATCGCAGGTTAGACCCTCCCCATCGTCGGAGACTTCTTCCTCCTTTTCTCTCTTGACCGAATGCCGACTGTGGCTGGGACTCAGCCATTTTGGCTCCTTCTTGATGAGCAGCTGTGTCTTGTTCTTGCGCTGCAGCTCCTCTTGGTGATTGTAGCGAATGTGATTGAACATTTTGGACATGCTCGTCTTGGTGCGATGGCAAATGGAGCACTTCAGATACGATCGATAGGGCAGATGCTTGAAGCAATGCTTCTGCAGCTCGGATCTCTTGGTGGTAGGCTGGATTTCGTGGCACTGCAGGCACATGCTCTTGCGTCCAGCCTCCAGGATCTTGAAGCTATTCTCTATGTAATGCTCAAAGTCGTGCTTCTCGAACACATGCTCTCGCCACACATCCATGGAATTGACCTCTTTGCCGCATTTCGGGCACAAAAAGGTTAAGAGTTTCATCAGACCATTGGTGGAGATTTCCGTGTCGGAATCTCGATTGGGGCTGGAGGATATGCGTCGCCGTTTGACATTGGTTTGACAACCACCACCCACCAAAGTGTCTGGGTCTGTGTTCATTTCCTTCTTTAGCAGCGCCACCTCATCCTTGCCCAGAGCATCGATCTCAATGATGACCGTTTCTTGGTTTTCCTCAACCTTTTCGGCATCGGCGGCATCGGGATCATCGAAAAACTCCTGGCAAAGGGCATCCAAATCGGCCTCGTACTTGGGCACCTGTTCCTCCTCCTTGCGCACAATATCCTCGTATGCCGTCAGGCATCTATCCAGGTTTGCCTCGCTGACATTCGGCTTGGGCGGAGAGGACTTCTCCTCCTCTGCCTGCAGATCAATGTCCATTAGGGCCTTTTGCAGCAGATCCCTGCGCTTGTGACCAAGCGTGCCTGGCGGACGGCCGCGACGTTTCTGTGTCAGTCGCCCGGCCGCCGACTGTAACGGCACGGCAGTTGCGTTGGGGTTCTGCGTCCGCTTCATTTGTCGCAGCTTCGCCTCGTACTTCTCAATCTCTCGCATGTGCGTATCCATCAAATGGCCATTGAGTGCGCGTCTCCGAGTGTACGCCATGCGGCAGTGCACACAGCGATATGTTTCGCTGTGCTCCAAGTGCATGAAATAATGATACTGCAGCAGAGCGATTGTCTTGTGGGCATTCTCCACCCACTTGAAGCAGATCTGGCACTCATGGAAGCGCTCATCGATTTGTATAAAGTTAAAGTCCGAATAGGTCTTCTTCAGATATTCGTGTTTCTGCAACAGAATCGCATTAGATGCGGACTATGCCACCAGGAGGGACGGAACTGTATTACTCACTGTATTCAGATGTTGACGCCACTCGGCCTGTGTCCGGAATGCCTTTCCACACTCGGGGCATATGTACACCATGTGCGCCTCCAGGCGGGCATTTAATTTGCTTTGTTCATCCGTCAGCATCACATTTCCCGACATTTTTCAATCAAAACCAAATTTTAAACACAAAATTGGCATCAAATAAATGCGATAGGTCGATGTCGATAGCAGTCTGTGCCTATCGAAATGCATCACTGCAGTCTGCACATCACTGCCATCCAGCCTGCACATCGCTAGTTCTGCAATGAATTCATAAATTTTAAGTAGAAACACCAACATTTATTAAGTTTTAAGCATAAAGTAGTTGTAGTAGGATCAAATAAAATCAAAATTATCATGTCGAGTGCATCCAAGTCCACAGTAAGCCCAACTTGCCTTGTTTTTGGTTGATTTGATTCTTCTACTACACCCACTACCATTTTATGAATAGCCAACCACCGCGGCCGCCAGTGGCAGCAGCAGCAGCAGTTCCACGTCTGCAGCGGCGGCCTCAGCATCCTCGAATGTCCAGGAGTTTAAGATTCGGGTGCCCAAGATGCGAAAGAAGCATCATGTGATGCGTTTCAATGCCACGCTAAATGTGGATTTCGCCCAATGGCGAAATGTCAAGCTGGAGAGGGAGAACAACATGAAGGAGTTTCGTGGCATGGACGAGGATCAGCCAAAGTTTGGTGCCGGCTCCGAGTACAATCGAGATCAGCGCGAGGAGGCACGCCGCAAGAAGTTCGGCATCATAGCGCGCAAGTACAGGCCGGAGGCACAGCCCTGGATATTGAAAGTCGGTGGCAAGATGGGTAAAAAGTTCAAGGGCATTCGGGAGGGCGGCGTGGGTGAGAACGCAGCCTTTTATGTATTTACCCATGCCCCAGATGGTGCCATTGAGGCGTATCCCCTGACTGAGTGGTACAATTTCCAGCCGATTCAGCGGTACAAATCTCTCTCGGCGGAGGAGGCGGAGCAGGAGTTCGGTCGTCGGAAGAAGGTCATGAACTACTTTTCGCTTATGTTGCGCAAACGGTTGCGTGGCGACGAGGAGGAGGAGCAGGATCCGGAGGAGGCAAAACTACTTAAGGCAGCGACCAAAAAGTCCAAAGAGCTTAAAATCACCGATATGGATGAGTGGATCGACTCCGAGGATGAGTCAGACTCGGAAGACGAGGAGGAGAAGAAGAAAAAGGAGCAGGAGGACAGCGATGATGGCAGCAAGAAGGCAAAAGGAGGCAAGGGCAAAAAGGGCGCCGACAAAAAGAAGAAAAAACGCGATGTGGACGACGAGGCGTTCGAGGAGTCGGACGATGGCGATGAAGAGGGCCGGGAAATGGACTACGACACCGAGTCCAGTGAAGAGTATGTTTTTGGTTTCATTGCCTTTTTTTTTATACCCACTTGTTGACACATCTGTTGCTCCCCCTACCCCACAGTGAACCTGATCCGGAATCCAAGCTGGACAAGGACATGAAGGGCGTTGCAGAGGAGGATGCTCTACGCAAGCTGCTCACCTCGGACGAAGAAGATGAGGATGAGAAGAAGTCGGATGAGTCGGACAAGGATGAGGCGGATGGTGAGAAAAAGAAAAAGGAAAAGAACAAAGATGAAGCCTCCAAGGACAAGAAAAAGAAGAAGCCTTCGAAGGATGACAAGAAATCGAAGGCCAACGGAAGCGGCGGCGACTCGTCCACGGACTTTAGCACGGACAGCACAGACTCTGAGGATGACCTAAGCAATGGGCCACCGAAGAAGAAGGTCGCCACCAAGGACAAAGAAAAGGAGAAGGAAAAGGACAAGGAGAGTGCCAGCAGCAGCAACAAGCCATCGACCAGCAGCAATGCCAACAAATCGCGATCATCTACGCCCACGCCAGCGAACAACGATGCCAGCAAACGCAAGATGAACAGCCTGCCCAGCGATCTGACCGGATCGGACACCAGCAACAGTCCCACCAGCACGCCAGCCAAACGGACCAAAAACGAGATCAGCACCTCGCTGCCCACATCCTTCTCTGGCAGCAAAGTGGAGTAAGTGCAAACCATCTAAACCCCTCTCTCCAAGAATTGTTGCTTAATTTTGTTTCTCTTACAGGGACTATGGCATAACCGAGGAGGCAGTGCGTCGATACCTGAAGCGCAAGCCCTTAACAGCCACCGAACTGCTGACCAAGTTTAAGAACAAAAAGACTGGCGTCTCAAGCGATCGCCTTGTGGAGACCATGACGAAAATATTAAAGAAAATCAATCCCGTGAAGCACACCATCCAAGGCAAGATGTATTTGTGGATTAAATAGGCTGTAGACAATGTGATTGTAAGAACACTTCAAGTACATATATTACATTTAAGATTAAATTGCCCTAAAATGTGGCCCTTCACTTCATGAATTTTATTTTGTTTTGATTCTAATTATTGTTGTTGGTCGAAGCGATAGTGCTATCGATTGCGAAACAGTCATCCCGATTGTTGGTGGTGCCATCGATTGCTAAGCAGTCATCTCTAACGGTTATCGCGAACCACAAATCCGTGTTTGGGAAATGTAAAAAAAATGTCCAATAATTAGCAAGTGAAGCAAATTTATCCTGATTTCCGACCTGCCATGCTTAAAAACGATCAGCGCCAGTGTCCTTGTTGAATATTACCTGACGATAGATCCCGTTCAGTGTCCTAGAACAGCAGCAAAATAAAACGCAATTGTTTTGCGATGGCGACGAGTGCTAGCGAAAAGGCGAGCGAGTGCTGAGAGAGAAAAAAATCGGTTGCACAAATAAACCCCAAAAGAATTCCTGAAATAAACAAATAACCGAGTGAGTTCTCGATGTGAGTGTACGTGAATAAATGGGCGAAATAAGACAGGAAATCAGCTCAGCTGCTTTGTTGTGGTGTTAATTTGGCAGCAACACACACACACGCAACACACATCCACCCACACATGCAGAAAGAGAGAGAGATACGCCTGACAAAAAAAAGCATAACATAAGCAAGTGCATTTATTTGTTGTTAATAATTGAGCGCTTGAATCGGTGCTTCCTTTTGTTGGTCGCTCCCAACCCTTTTCACCTGTTGTCCCTTGTCCACTACAGGTACATGTAAAGATGTATATGTATTGGTATGTAATTAAAAACCTTGAATTCGCGTTGGTTCGTGCGATGTGCGCCTTGTAAAGTTCAAGGTATTCCCACCCATGCGTGTGTGTGTGTGTGTGTAGGTGGGGTGGGTTACGCGTGTGTGTCGGCCTTCGTGGGGAGTGGATTAACAAAAAAGAAAAGCTGTAAAGCAAAAGCAGTGCCCGATAAGTGACGTTAGCTTATCGATATGACTATCGTTGCAAGGATATTCGATCGTGTGGGGCTTCTTGTGTGTGCGTGTATGGGTGAGGATACGGTTCCAATGTCAATTAGGGTATTCTAATGGTAAAATCGAACCTCTGCTGGATTACTAGGAAGAACTCTATCACAGCAGTCTGGTCTTTGCTTTCATTATATGGAAATTACCTATAAACAAAAAGTTTCTGTTTAAAATCAAGAATCAGCTGTTTTCTTTAGCTGCACAGCTGTTTGGCCAAAATCAAAATGCAATCAGATTTAATTACCCCACTGTCAAAACAATCCCCCAGTCCCCATGTTGCAATTATAAATAAATTAGTCATCTCCCATTTGAAATCTTATAGCATCCACGCGTCTCGTCTCGTCTCTCCGTTTCAATTACAAAACTCTCTCTCAGAACCTCTGTCCGCAGGCTGCCCCTGTCCATTCGACTATTTATTTATTATTTGTTCATACAATAAAAGTCACGTTCTCATTAATGGTTTTGCTGTTGCTGCCTGCTGCTGCTGCTTCTACGTCGTTTATCTATCAATTTTCTGTCCTCTTTTGTGACCATATTTCTATACGACGATGTGCTAATGCCTGTGACGTTTTCCTTTATTTAATTATGCATTTAATACATATATTAGTGACATATTTGCGGCACATGTTAACAGCGCAGCTTTTGATTTTTTTCGCTGCAAAATTTTCCACATTTTGATGTCTATGAACTTTTGGGCTGTAATTCATCAGGTTTTGGGGCTGACACAGATCTGGGGAGCTATTTATTAAAGAAGTTTCAAAAAACTATTCCGCTAGACTTCAATAAAAAGGAAAATTGAGCTCAATCACTGCGCAAAGCGAAGCCACAGACAGTTCCGACGTCAGCGAAATGCGTTGATTGCCTTACATAAGTTGTAAAATGCATTTTCATGGCTGTCTCTGTCTCCGCTGCCACCAGACACTTTCGGGCAACAGCTGTAATGGGGGAAAAAAGTATACATTTTTGATGTTTGTGGAATAATCAACACAACACGCATACACAAAAATATAAAAATAACGATCACAAGCCGTTTATCTTATCAGCTGAGCTGTTTATTTGCCTTTGACTTGAGCTGGCATCATCCCTCGACTCATTTATAAACTCTGTTTTGTTTTACAATTGCAGCACCAGTACCAGTCTCTCCCCTAAAATAAAAAAAAAGCAGCAGGCTGTGGCACACAGATGAGAGATGCGAATAGTGCGAATGTTGACAGCACAAAGAAGCAACAGCAGCAGCAGCAAGAGCAACAGCAGTGGAACCATCAAAGAGCAACAGCAATAACATCAGTGTAAAAGGAACGAAGTTCAACCAAGAACCACAACCTGCAGGCAGCAACAGCAGCAGCATGACCTCAAGAAAGGGCTGCCATGTTCTGGCCCTGTTGGGTCTGTGTCTGGTCTGCCATGAGGCGGCTGTGGTCAGTGGACATGTGCTTGTCTATAGACGCATCTCAAATCAGGCAAGTATATTCGATATATTCGCTTTGACAGAACAGCCAATACTCATTTGTTCGTCTTGTTTTGCAGTTGATTGAGGAATTCAATGATTTGCCAGCACAATTTGGTCCTCTACTGCCGCCAAATGGTCTCAAGGTGTATGTGGTGCCTGCCATGCCCCATTCCTATGGTTGTGATACGCTGAGTAGGCCACCGCATTTGATTTATCCATCAGCGGCCAAATTTGTGGCACTGATATCACGCGGCGGTGATTGCACCTTTGAGCGGAAGGTGCGTATGGCACAGAATGCAAGCTACTCTGCTGTGATTGTCTACAATAATGAAGGCGATGATTTGGGTGAGTCAATCCATCAGTTAATCGCCTGGATATCCTGCTGATTCTTTTACTAATTTACAGAGCAAATGTCCGCCGATAATAGGTCGGGCATAAACATACCCTCCGTCTTCGTTGGCCATACAGCGGGCAAGGCTCTGGCCACATATTTCACGCCCGAGGTGGTGCTAATCATCAACGATGAGCTGCCCTTCAATATCAACACTCAATTGATATTGCCCTTCTCCATATTAATTGGCCTGTGCTTTCTCATCATGGTACGCGACTAATCTTTGATTTTTGTATCCCCAATTTTACTGGGTTTGTTTTTCTGTTCTATAGGTTATTTATATGATATACAAATGCATACGCGAACAGCGTCGCCTGCGTCGCCATCGACTGCCCAAGAGCCTGCTGAAGAAGTTGCCTGTGCTGCGCTACAAAAAGAACAATACGAACAATAAATATGATACCTGTGTGATCTGTCTGGATGAATTCGTTGAGGATGACAAGCTGCGTGTGCTGCCATGCTCCCATCGTAAGTGCAAGTCCCTCATTAATCCAGTGATATTACATTTGTATATTTCCCTTGCAGCCTATCACACACACTGCATTGATCCATGGCTTACCGAAAATCGTCGCGTTTGTCCCATTTGCAAGCGGAAGGTTTTTACGAAAGACTTGCATCGGACTCGACAGCCTTCATTGGATAGTGTCACGGACACGGATGATGATACAACGCCGCTGCTGCAACAGCAGCCAAGTGGTGGCAGGCAGGGTGGTCAGGGGTCCACCTCATCCGCTGCCAGCGCAGCAGCGGCTGGTAGTAGCTCCAGTGTGGCAACAGCTGCTGCTGCAAGCACCACACGACATGGCACCTTTCGACGTGCTGATGCTGGTCGGAATCCATTTGAAGCGCAGGAGACTCAAAGCTCGGATGATGAAAATGGTGCGTGACTGGATGCTCTTTGATTGTCATTAGTCATTTGTAATTCTCTTCTTTGTTTTTTGGGAACAGCCCTGCTGGACTCTGCCTCACATCCGGCCAGCTCATCGTCGGCCACTCATGAGCGCATGAATCCCTTTGATCGTGCACCAAATTTGCCCCCACATCTCGCTCGCCAGTTGAACGATTTGAACGATCCCTCGATTTGGTCCAAGTTTGGGTAATGTTTATTTTTCATTGTATTTTTCGTTTGGCTTGATGATAATTTCCGAATGCATTTTGGCAGCTTCCTGTTTCGTCGTCCGAGGACTACAATTAGTGTGGCAGCACCGGCATATCTGGAGCACGTTGAGTCTGGTACTAGTGCCATTATGGGGCTGCCCGCGACAACTGCAGCGACAACGACGGGGACAATTGCCGTTGCGACGCCCGCATCGAATAACATCCTTAATCCGAATTTAAGCGGCTCCTTCAAGGATGATGACGATATGCCACCGCATCGCTCCATTTACGAACCCATAGCAATCAATACGCCAGCGGCCAACGATTCGGCGTTCCTGCAGACGCCCACGCAGGGCGGAATAGGCGTGGCCGCCATACCACATGGTGCAGACGATCAGTATCTCATATGAGCGCAAGGAGTGGGAGTTCCCTTACACTTAGTCGTTGTCGATCCCCAAAGAATAACCTTTTTGTTTTGAATCAAGAATTATTTTCGTTTGGGTTCGCTTTCAAGAGATAGGAAGAGAGAGAGCTGTGTGGCTGCCAGCTGCTTTGTTTTAAACAATTAACGAATGTTTATTATTAAATATTAATAAATATGTAGGCCCTCCCCCCACTCCCTCCCCTCAGATCTTGTGTTGGCCTGTGAGTCCGTCACGCCCACAAAATACATAGACACAACACACATACACACTTACATATATATATATGCGTATAAAAATTGTGATTTATTTTATATACATTTTACAAACGTAAATCCCACGATTGGCACACACCACAGAACCCGCCTACAAAATTTACCAAAAACAAAAAACGCAAAAGATAACACAATTAAGATTCAAAAATTGTTTTTTTTTTATTTTAAATTTTGATTTTGTATTAATCAGTGTTGATGTTTTTTAGTCAAACCAATCAGCTCCCCACACAAAAACACGCATGTGCAACAGAATGATTCATGGAATTAGTTTATATTTTCAATTTGAAAACAAACACACACAAAAAAGAAATTAAAGCTAAAAACAATTTTATTAATGATTGATGTGGCATTATATGGGCCTGTACATTGTATATTATTCTCGATTTAACTAATTTTAAGTTTACTATAAAAACAAAACCAACAATATTTAAACTAAAACACCTCCAAAATGTTGCAATTGATTTTCCAGTTAGAAGAGGAGTGAAACACACCCACAATAAAATATAGGGAATGTACGTTGTTTCTTCTTTTTATAAAAAATATGATCAAATTATATTTCAAGTTGCCACAAAATCCACTGAAAGTAGAACAAAAATCTATTTTGTGATTATTTTAACCCAAAAATACCTATAAAATGCAGAGGAAGACAAAAATCGAAATTCAATTAGGGCATAGATGCATCCGAAAATAAAACAAAACAATATATAAAGTATATTTAGAAATGCTGTGGCAGTGTAATTTAAATTTAATTTACATTCAAAGAAAAACAAAAATAAACGTAATGGATATAAAACATATGTGTGGGGCACTGTTTTACTTACCAAATGAGAGATATTAGCAGGTAATTGGACCTCAAGCACTGCTTCTGGATAGCTCTAACAGAAGTCAAAGCAAGTTCTGGTTTTTAACTGTAGTTAAAGACCGACAATTAGGTCCAATTGGTTCTTAAGCAGCTGCTTAAACAAGGCAACAGCTGTTTTTCTTTTAAGTCGCCTAAGCAGTGGAAATCACAGCAATCGTCAGCACAATCAAAGCCCTTCATACGAGGATGATGAATGAGTACTAAGCTCCGATGGAGAGATTTAAAAGAAGCATAGCGCAGTCTACAATAAATAGACATAATTACACGATTGTTTTCCCAAAACACAACACGCCAATGGCAGTAATAGACAACTCATTTTGGATTCTTACGCATGTAATACGTATACACAGTAAGTATATATGTATATACAAACATATACTCGTATATCTACGTATCTGTATATTTATTTGTGGTTCTTTCAACGTTAATTATAGTCGGCCTTTTGTTGTAGAAGAAGGATTCATTATATTTTCAGTGTGGGTGTGTTACCTCGAGCCTGGGAAACACTGCAGCTGCTGTCCAGTCCAGAATGTACGTATAGTATATAGTATCTATATATTGTTAATTGGTATATCTATATGCTATATATAGATGTGTGTTTTAGGCCACCACTTACGTACATTATTTGGATGTTGATGTGGATGGGGGGATAAATAAATACAAAGTAATTCTCGGGATTTATACAAACGTTTTTTTTTCACTTTATATAATATAAGAGTTATTTTATACGATAGCATATTTATATATATATGTATATATCATTACATATATCGTAGGAGTATACATTTAAACAGCATGTATATTCATTCTTTCAGATTTTAGTTGAGTAATCAGCACTTTTTTCGAAGATATTATTATTACAATTTTGCTAGAGAGAGAGTGTATAGGGGATGTGTGTCGGATGATAAATATGTATGGGATATATAATGTATGTTTTTTGTACAGATTTCATGTGTGAATGAATGAGTGTTTTTGTTTTTGAGGGGATAATTGATACAATTTTCAGTTTAAAAAATGACGACAAAGCTATATACAAAAAAAACACAGAATGTGCACCACTTTTAAGAACTTAATAGCTAAAGAAACATATTGTTGTATGAACTATGGGGTGTGGGGGGTGCATGGGCATTCCACTTCACTTCACAACAAGCGATTGCTTGAGATGCCGCACCAGACCGGAACCAATATCCTGTACATCCGGCCATTGTCGTATTACGAAGATGACAAAACAAATGGATAGAAATGTGGTCAAAACGCGTACCCTAAAACACAAGACTTGTATAAGTTTAATCCATGAAATGTCGAGTCGTAGAAGAGCCGAACCTTGTTTTAAGAAATGGCATTATAATGCCCGCTGCTGTGGCCACTAGTAGGAGTACCACCTGTAATATCGTTAATACCACATTGATGAGTTTCACAACCAAGGCCCTGGCATTTGAATTGTCAATGCCCTCAACAGTGACATATTGTTGCTGTGACATGTGCTCCATTTTAGATATCTACGAGAGGGGATTATGTATCCATTAGTTTCTGATCTCTCTCTCTCTCTTCCCCTTGGGGACTGCTGATGCTTACCCTCGTTTGACAATTCTCAAGCACTTCATTGACATCACGTAGTCTTTCATCGCTTTGGTATTGTACTTTCTCCTCCATGTCAGCAATCGTTTGCTTTAGATTCTCAATTTCATTCTGGAAAAAAACAAAAGGCGATATTTTTATTTGGAACTATGCCAAAAGGGAAAGGGAAAAGGCATTGTGTCCTACAAACCTGATGTAATTCCGTCAAGTCATTGATTTGCTCTTCGAGTCCCTCGGCACGATATCGTTCACTTTCGAGTGTGGCTGTCAGGTTATTAAATTCCTTTTGGCTTGTCTATAAAATAAGATACGAAAGGTTTAGTGTGCATTCCCAGAGAGTAAAAAAGAGGACGCTCCTCCTACCTCTAGCCTATCCATGCGCTCCTTGAGCTTCTCATTCTCTGCCTTGCGTTCGGCCAGCTCTGTGAGTAGTGTCTTGAGGACTATGTGATATTGGCTGGCACCAGATTGACTCTTGCCAGAGCTGAGAAATATAAAAAGTATCCTCCATTAGTAGGGGTGCAAAAGGGATCCCCTAGCCATATTCTTACCCCGCTGGTATACTCTCACTCGTCACGCTGCTGCATTCACTGCCATTGTCACTATTGAATTTGCCTGTGCCACTGCCCGTTCCCGTATTATTATTATGTCCTCCGCCCCCACCACCAGATCCTGTGGAGGTACCTGCACCTGGCACCTGCTGCTGCAGTCTTTCGTTGGCCGCCAGCACATCGGCGGCATTGGCCGCCTGCATGCCCTGCAGCTCGGCATCGCTCATCTGATTGATGTTGTCGGCGCTGCCAAACTTATTCTTGATGAGATGGGCAAACTCACGCGGCTTGGACATCACAGAGCCCGAGAACCCGGTTATGCCATCGCGTATGTTGCCACCCACATTCCTTAGACCCTGGCCCACATCGCGCAGGACCTCGCGCGGCTGTCGATGCTGGCTCTTGGTCTGATATTGATGATCCTTGGCTCGTTTCGTATAGCTATCGAGCTTCTTCTGCAGCTGCGAGATGCTGTGTGCGCTCTTTTGGTTCTTCTTTTCGAAGACAGCCTGTAAAGAAGGAGGGAGGGAGGAATAATTCATGAAGAGGAGGAAGGGCTTTGCAGGACTCGTACCTTGATGCGCTGCAGCTGCTGCTTGTCGGCGCTGGCTGCTAGCTTTAGATATTCATTGACATTATCTGAAAGGGAATAAATAAATATTTTCTGTCGCTCCTTTTCATTCCTTTAAGGACTCTCTTACCATCTCTGGCAGTTTGCTCTTGTCGTATGGACTCCTTGGTGCATTGTATTTTCGTATTCAAACGATCAATGGCCTGGACACTGGAGCTCCTCTCGTGGGTGCATCTCCGGGGCCTTTTGCTGCTGTCAAACTCATCCGAAACGAATGATGAATAGTAGTCCTCGTTCCCGGACAATCGTGAATCCTCCAGGCCACTGCCTGTGCCAGCACTTCCGCCGCCGCCTCCCTGGGTTCCACCTCCCACCACACCGCCAAAATCATTCATATCATTGACGCCCACAAGACCGCTGTAGGCCAAGAGGCCGCCCTGATCCGAGCCATGGGTCCGCCGCTGCCTCTCGCGACTCCTACGCCGGTGGGTGGGGCTGTGGCTGCGAAAGCCACGTGCCACCACCCCACCGCTGCCCAGACTGCCGGTCACCGTGTTGCCGCCGCTATAGACAGCCGCCTGTGCAGCTGCCACTGTGCTGGAGGAGGCCGAAGAATTGCTATTGGTGTTCCCCGAAGCGGGACCGGAACTGCTTGCTGCTGCTATCGCAGTCGTTGTGGCTGTGGCTGATGCTGCTGCTGTTCCTCCAGTTGATGATGATGCACCGCCTGCTGCTGCCGCTGCTGTTTGTGTGGCTGCCGCTGCCTCGCTGGCCCGTTCCCTGGACACTGTCAAATTGTGGCGCATAGAAAAAACGGTACGGATGATGGGTTATTGCTATTTCTATTTCTGTGAGTCTCTTTCTTTATTTTCTATTGGTTTTAGTTTCTTTCTTCAGATGTGAGTGATAAGAGCGCGTTGGTCTCGCCGCAGCACAAGCAGCAGGAATGAAATGTGTTGCATGCACATAGGCACCGGCTTATAATGAAAGCAGTGTCTGTGTGTGTGTGAGTGAGTGGGTTGGTGGTGGGTGGAAGGCAGAGAGAGTGTGCAAGTGCTGATGGTGAAGAATGCTGTGTGCGAGAGAAAGAGAGTGAGAGTGAGTGTGAGAAACAGTATGGGAGGAAAGCGCGAGAGGGTGAGTGATAGTGTGAGTGATGGCTGTGCTAGGAAAGAGAGCAGCGAGTGTGAGTGATGGCAGAGTGATGCAAAAAGTGTTGATGGCCTGTGGCGCTGTGTGGGCGATAGCGGGCGACTGTTGATAGCTTTTTTGCACTAGTGTGTGTGCCTTTTGAGTGAGTTATGTCTTCACATACGCAAATGATTGACAGCTAGAGCCGACAGCCTGGGCGGCGCGATAGAGAGAGAGGGCACCAGCAAGAAAGTAGAAAATAAAAACGACAGATAGACAGAAATAGAGAGGAAGAGGCGGAAAGAACACGGCCAAGCGTTTTAATCGCGGGCATGCCACTGTTTTTTATTTTTTGGTAACAACAAACAGGCAGGTACAGTGGAAACACAATAATTAGGAACAGCTTAAGTGAAAAGCTATTTTTTTTTTTGAGAATAAATAGACAAATTATAGATTCAAGTGAAATTTCAATTGATTTACATGTATTTATAATATACTGCTGCCTATTTATCATATATCCACTGCCCACTGTTGCATATTTTTGCTTTTCTTTTTACAGAATAACCACTGTGTAAATGACATTAATGATTGCGGTTTGAGGTTAACATAAAGCTAATACATGCAGATATCTGAAATGATTAAATACCTACATTTATCAATGATTTATTTGTTTTGGTGGAAATTGGAATTTCTTTTTGTTGTTGTGGTGGATTGTGTGTATGGTATGCAACGTAGTACGTGTGGCTACAACACATTCAACATTCAAACGGTTACAAAAGCTGAAGAAAGGGAAAACAAAGAAAGAGATTGAAGAAACAAAAGGAAAAAATATATGTAAAAGTGTGAAAAGTAAACAGGAAAACAAATGGTGAGAAAACAATTCAAAAAATGTGTAATATAATAATAACAAATATATAATGTATAAGCAATAAACAATCCGCAAATCAATCCAACAAGTTATAATTGCAATACAAAACCAAGCACACAAAAGCAGGCTATAGTTTTGGTGGATCTGCTAAAATGTTTTCCAAAGCTATGTGAAAAGAGAGTGCTGGGGCGAGTTGGAGGGTTTCTAAGGGAGGCAGATGGGTGGGTGGCTGTTAGGGCAGTTGGGGTGCTGGCTGGGGGTTGCTTTCCAGATGAGTCATCATTCATGTCTGGCGCATAAATTGAGAGCATCATATGCTCCAAAAACCCACAATCCATTTGTGGCAGAGAAAGTTAGTTTTTTTCTATGCTTTGTTCTTTTTGTTTCCTGACTAAAAGCTATTTGCTTTAATTGTTGTCTAGCTATTTGAACTAAAAAATCTCTTTTAGGATATGGAAATGGAAGACTATTCACTCACCTCCTTACTATGCCATTTTAAGCGTTTTTGTTTCATATATTTGCACAATTTATGTTACTTTTCAGAGTGTTCAGGCTTTAAATGAAGCTTGTAGCTTGAAGCTAATAAAATAATAAAGAAATGCTTATCTTTTCTTGAGTCATTAAAGCAACACAAACACATTTCCATATTTGTATCTTCTTTAAGCTGGCATATTATTCAGCATACAATTTTCTATATATTTGGCTTTTAATATAAGCTCACATTTCATTCACAAAATATTCTGTCATTCCTGCTCCTCGTGTGCTGCAGACTTAATAGCCGGAAATGCTAATTGAATAAGCAGCAGCAGCATCGCATTTCACTGATAACAGCATTATACCCTAGTTAGAAACAAGATTGAAAGCCCCAGACATAATCATGAATGCCCATTAAACCAGAGAGACGCTGATAATAAGATGATTTGAATGAGGAAGCTACAGCATTAACACACGCGCGCCAATCAAAGCA